ATACATTTAATTGCTCTTGGATCCAACTTTCCCCCATTATGACTGTGAACATGAACAAAACTGTGAACATGAACAAATGATGTGCAACCAAATATCTTTGGTGTAAGGTTGTTTGTGGTATTGAGGTTGAGATAGAATTGTGAAAATAGTTTTATAGGAGTTTTAAATCCCAAAACCCTTGAAGGTAACCTATTTATAATGTGTGTGGTAGTGAGAACAGCTTTCCCCCAGTAAGATTTGGGTACATTTGCTTGAAAAGGGAAGGCTCGGGTTGTGGCTAGTAAATGGCTGTTTTTCCTCTCTGTCACTCCATTCTACTGTGGAGTATTAATACAAGATGACTCATGGATAATCCCTTCATTTTGGAAATAGGTGGATAGACTCTGGTTGAAATAGTCTCTTGCATTATCAGACCTAAATTTCTTGATTCTCACTCCAAATTGATTTTGGATCATGTTTTGGAAGCTTAAAAATACACTATTCACATCTGATTTGGATTTTAGTAAAAAAAACCCAAGAAACCTTGGTGCAATCATCTATGAATGAAACAAATCATCTTGCATCAGAAATATTAGGAATTGTAGAGGAAGCCCAAATGTCACTATGAATAAAGTAAAAAGGAGTAGAACTTCTTTTGTTACTAATTAGAAAATACACGTCTGTGCTTTGCAAGTTCACAAACATCACAATGAAAATCTTTGACGTTTAATCCTTTGAACAAAGAAGGAAACATGTTTCTCAAAGTTCCAAAAGAAGGATGTCCAAGAAGAAAATGATAAAGTCAGATTTTTTCTTTAGTGGAAGATTTTTCAAAAAGAAATGACAAAGGTAAACTATTCTTGATATTACTTGTGTTGTTTGATGTCTCAAGATCGTATAGCCTTCTTCTTAGCAAGTCCAATCCTCTTCCCCAAACTCTGGTCCTGAAATTCACAATAAGAGGGATAAAAAATCACTTTGCAGTTCATATTTCTGGTAAGTTTTTGTACAGATATCAAATTAGTAGACAATCTAGGAATATGAAGAACGTTTTTAAGAACAAACGAGGGATTAATTTGAACATCTCCTAATCCTGCCACTGTAGTAAGTGAACCATTTGCAACAATAATTTTCTTATTATTAGAACACAGGGTGTATGTACTAAATTTTTGTGAGGAATATGTCTTATAGTTTGTGGCTCCTGAGTCAATGACCTAAGAACTCGTAATAGACTTAATCGAGACATTTAATCCATGAGAACCAGAAGCTTTACCTGAACTAGAGACCTTACCCAAGGAACATACCACAGTAAGCTTTTCAAGGGTTTTCAATAGCTTTCTCAGCTTTTCAATCTCTTCTCTATCCAATTCTCTTTGTTTTCGAGACATCTGTAATACTACGATGATTTTCCCAGTTGACACTTCTTCAAATTGGGTGGTAGTGATATCTTTCTTTGAATTGAAACAAGTCTTAAGATATAATTAGAAATGACTCTTAGCAATGAAGGCTAAAGAAGGGAAAAATAAAATGGCTACGAAGGCCTTAACAGGGTTCGGCAATGAAGGCCTAAACAGGGTTCGGCAATTAAGGCCTAAACAGGGTTCGGCAATGAAGGCCTAAAATAGAAGTTAGCAATGAAGGCTGAAAAATTTTGCTTCCCAAAAAGAGCCTAAAGCTTTGATACCATGTAAAAAACTTAGAATTAAAATTGTGGAAAACTAAGAGTAAAAACTGAATGTATATTGAAAAACTGCTAATTAAGGATTATATAAGAACCTTAGTTTATATACAACTAACTAGGGATTAAACTAGGAAACTAAATCTTCCTAAAAATTGATCCTATGATGGAAGGATTGTTTATCATTGTCCTTAATTCTAGGGATACAAATACTTTATTCTAGAGATACAAAAATAAATATACAAATTACAAGATTACAACTAGTTGTAAATAAGTGTTTTTCCTCAGTAAGATTTGGCTCATATAAACTACTCTTTGTTTAATTAAATGAGTTGAATAGAATTCATGTTGTTATGTGCACAACATGCCAATGTCATTTGAAAGGTCTAAACCACCCCCTTGCATTGTCTAGCAGTTTTAGATGCTAAGAACATATGATTAAATTTAAAAAAGTAGGCCAAAAAAGGACAGATTCCGGTGTGAATGATACAATCAAATTATAGACTAATGTGCAAGAAGCTAAATGAAAAACTATTGCAAACAATTAGTGCTACAAGCAATCGTATTGAAGTATTAGATTTGTATGAAAGATAAAATGGGCATGTTTACTTATGGGGTGTTGCCCATAAGTACCATGTTCTCATGCATTAGCCTGTTAGCTCATTTTATTCTACCCTTATGCTCTTTTCTTTGTCCAAATTGCTCTCATTTACGTATAGCTTTAATGTGTAATCTCTGTTATTAATTCTGTATCCTCTATTCCAGATGGCAGTTATACCTCGTACTGCCCAGGGTCATGGATGGCTGAGGCCAGCTGTCGGAGTTGTTGAGCTTTCTCAATGTATTATTCAGGTGCTTATTTGGGGAAAATTAGCTACTGGTTATCATATAGTCATTTCTATGTTTTTGAGTTATACATAAGCCAGTTTTTTATCATGATCTATTAAAATTCTGAATACAGTATTTAACTCCATACTTTTTTTGAAATAATTAAAGTTGGTCTTTGTATGTCCTCCCCTTTTTTCTTTGAACAAACACTTCCCTCCATCCTGCTCAATTCCTCTTGATTTTCTTGGCGTAAGCCGATAACATTATAGCTTCTAAGGTTTTTAATGTTCTTGCTTACTAAAATTACTTTATGAGATAATAATAAATAAATCCATAATAATTTTTAATTTTTGATTGTTTGTTATCTTTCTTGGTGACAGATGCCAATATGCTGGAATTGCCCTGTTTTTTAGTCCATATTAATGCTTGGTGTTATTTATTGATTTAACACAGGCTGTTCCACTCAGTGCAAGAAAGACAACTGGAGGATCTACTGAAGGTGTTGCATCTTTCTTGCAGCTGCCGCATTTTAGTGAGGCTGTCATAAAAAGGATAGCTCGCAAGGTAAGTAAGAAAATGTCAGCAAGAATGCATGCTGCTGTTTAACATTTCACCTTCTAGCTGTCAATAAGGAGCCAAATTTCTATGATGGCCTACGTAGGAAATTTAATGTAATGAGCTTTGGTGCAGTCACTTTATATATTTTTGGCTATTAAATACTTGTTGTACTTGGCTAAATATAGCCCAAAATTTTGATAAAATCTTCTAAATCTAAGTTTCGCATTTGAAATGGTGATACATTCTAGAATCCTACTTTAGTTTACGGTACAAACTACAAAGGAAACATTCTTACTTGTTCTGTATAACTTGGATTACTTTGAGACACCTATCTGCTTGGGCTTTAAAAAACAGGATTTGAGTGGTGCAAAATGATAAATATATAGGAAGATTCTGCTCATTTTGGGAGCTTCAAATGATCTTTGTGACTTTCCTTAATTAGACTTAAGCAGGGAGTATCTGTTCAAACAAACAGAGATAGTTCCTTTGAGGTTTTCTTTTTCTTAAGCCCCTACCGCAATTTATTTACATATTTATTTTTCGTTATTTCCATTTGATCTCTTGGTTAAGAGTTCTTGATTTTCAATTGCAGAAAGTGAGAACATTTCAAGAACTTCGAGAAATGATCATGGAGGATCGCGCTGAACTTCTAAATCAAGCAGCTGGATTTTCTCCTGCTGAAGTACAAGATGTTGAGATGGTATTGGAAATGATGCCGTCCTTGACAATTGAAGTTACATGTGAGACTGAGGGTGAAGAGGGTATACAAGAGGGGGACATTGTGACAGTTCAAGCTTGGATAACACTCAAGCGTGGGAATGGCTTGACTGGTGCTCTTCCCCATGCCCCCCATTTCCCATTACCCAAGGAAGAAAATTTCTGGTTTTTACTTGCGGATACTGTCTCAAACAATGTGTGGTTTTCCCAAAAGGTGAGCTTCATGGATGAAGCTGCAGCAATAACTGCTGCTTCAAAAACAATTCAGGAGACAATGGAGGTTTCAGGAGCAAGTGTTAAGGAGACAAGTGAAGCGGTTAAAAAAGCTGTAGAGAAGGTTCGAGGTGGCTCCAGATTGGTGATGGGCAAATTGCCAGCCCCAATGGAAGGGAATTACAATCTGACTTGTTACTGTTTGTGTGACTCCTGGATAGGCTGTGATAAAAAGACAAACTTGAAGATTAAAATTCTCAAAAGAACTCGGGCAGGCACCCGTGGTGGTCATGTTTCAGAAGAAGGACCTCTTGTTGAGGATGGAGTTGAAGAGGAAGAGGCGAATGAGGAGGAGTATGATGATTATGAGAGCGAGTACAGTGAAGATGAGGAAGATGACAAGGATACAAAAAAGAAGGGTCCTGTGGCTAATGGCACCATGCATGAGAAAGGCTCAAGCTCTGAAGGTTCAGGCACAGATGAGGAATGAAACAAATAATTGCATTCATCAATTAGAAGAATCGGCCACCCTCTTTTTTCTTTTTGTACTTTTTAAAAGTTGGTGAATAACTTAACGACCATTACAAGGATAGATACCAATATTTTGCTCATTAGTTGGCAGAGATTCATAGTTTTGATACCATAAACGTGTGAGTTTAACCTATTTAAGCCTGTCGAGTTCAAATTTTCATTCCAAATGGCTAACAAGGTACAATCATAACACAGAATAGAAGGGGTCAGTCTGATTAGCTGGTGTGTTGTGAAGCATGACACAAGTTATGACACCCTTATCATCAGCCTTATTTCCCCTGGTGTTGCCTCCTTTTACACGCCATGGCTACCAAATGTGTTTTAATTTTTAAAGCGGAAGGCTTGACCAAACTCTCCGTACGTTGCAATATTTTTTAACTCACCCTCTAAATAAATTTCTGTATCAAGTAAATTAAGAGTCATTCAGCAATGGTGTTTACACTTCAATTTGACATACAAAAGATAGCATCCATATCAACCATGAATCACCAGCAAGAAAGCAAGGTTACAACCTTTGTATCATATATTCAATCTTCAATTTGTCAAATATTTTAATTTGTCCAGATGCCCAAAAAAAAAAAAAAAATTCTTACGATCCCACAACTTGCTTAGTTTACATGAATCCCAGACCTAACCTAGTCCCGATAAGGATCGTGCTGATACAAAATAACATAACATGACATAAGAAAGGATTGTTCATTCTTGTCATACAACCTTCCTTAACTTGCTCCTGAGATCGAATATATTGCATTTCACTATGAAGGCCAACGGCTGTGCTGGATGTAAGACTATTTGATCAATCAAGAAGTTATGTTAGCTTCAGTAGCAAATGCATTTGAACTTGCGTCAGCTTCCTCGTCCAATAAACTCAAATTCTTTTCAGTTTCCTTGTCCTCAGTGACACCTTTGACAATTTTATCAAATTCCTGTAGCTGCTTTACTTGAATTTTGACACACTTTCCTTTGATGTATCTATATTCCCATTTTGGTGGTGGATATTTCTTTTTTAACTTGTCATACTTGTCCAACATGCCCAATTGTAGGAAGACATTTCCAACCATTGAAACAACTGATACACTTGGTTTGACACCAAGCTCTTCCATGTCAGCAAATACCTACAATAGTACAGCTACAAGTTACATTAGTACGATGTAGAGAAGTTTAGAGCATCCATTATAAAAAACTACTGAGAGGGTTGTAACGTATCTAAAACTTAAATTACTAAGGCTCTCTTTGCTTCATGCTTTTGCTTTTTACATTTTGTTTTTTCCAATAAAAAGTTGAAAGCATAAAATAAAAGATGAACTGAAAACCAGAGACAAATAATATAAAGCAAAAGCGCCAACCCAACAAAACTTAAACTAATTAAAAAATTACAATATAAGTGTATATTTAACTAGTACCTAAAATCAAACTGATTATCATTTTAGGTCAATAGAAGATGTAAAAACAAGAGGAAAATGACTCCATGCACTGCTCTGTACCCATATTGACAAAGAAGCTCATCAAAAACAGGAAGAGGTGTCAGATTTGAAATTACCGGACCAACGAGATTTCTACCCTAAGGTGTTCCAATATCACATCATTTTCATTTTCACTAACCATCTAAATTGTGCTACACTGATTTTTAAGGGAGCATAAACCAGACTTGGGATGGTAATTAGAAGCAGTATATTGCTTAGTTGGAGAAATCATTGAAAGATAGAAGAAATGCCTAACCTATACATTCAAATTATGATAAAGCACACCATTGAAATAAGAGAGTCTTGAATGAGATGACTTTACAATACCTCAAACATCTTCTCATGCATGCCCCTGTGATGGTAAATCGAAATCATTTTATCAAAGAAAATACGCGGTGTGCTTTCTAAATTATCAGAAAATAGTTTTCCCCACAGGTCTTCAGCCTCATCAAGTCTCCCATCCTCTGCTAAAGCATTCAGTAAGGTGAAATAGGTTCCCATCGTTCTTCCTTGACCTTTGCTTAACATCCACTTTATCACCTGCAAATGCAACCTCACTTTCTTAGAAGTAGCTCTATTTTAGGTAGAAAGCCAAAGCAAAGATAAAAGTTAAAGAGAAAAAGAAAGGAATAAGAAATGACGGACATTACCTGAATTATTCTCTTCCATTCTTGTTCATTCTGAAGGATCTTCAATGCTTTCTTCACTGTAATTAGAGGGAACTCTAGTTCCCATGCAATGAACGAGTCGAGAGCCCCGTAAACTTCCTCCTTGACATTTGACAGTTCCATTACCTAAATATGCATGGCCAATAATAGATGATTATAATCTCAAGATGGCTATAAAAAGAATCAAATTCCTGTCCATTTTACCATGAAAAATCAGCTTAACTCACCCATTTCAGAATCAGCAACCTACAACTATATTTATTTTTGGTAATATTTAACTTATAAAAGCTAAGATAGTAAAGCAAAGAAGAGCTTACACAAGTAACAAGTTTTGCTGATTTTGAGACAGTCCCAATTCTCTTCCTTGATTTCCATACCCGAGGATACCGAGGTCTTGGACCTTTTGCAGCGCATACCTGAAAATTATTTGAGAATTACTAATTCATCAAAACTTCCATAAAAAAATTTTAAAAATTTCACATTCCGTACATCTTCTCCTTCTCTCTTTAGCGCTCAAAAGGAGCAAAATTTATATAAAAAAAAATCCACTTGAAAACGTACCACGGTATTCCTTGGGCTCTGGGTAATTTTCACTGATTCCAATCTTTTAGTAATAATTGGCAGAGCATATCTACAGCGAAGCATCCTGACATAATGCAAAACCAGAGAGAGAGAGAGAGAGAGCATTAGTTAACATTAACAAAGAAATTTTCTTGCTTTTAAAAGCTACAAAATGCTTAAATTGTCTATTCCAGTATTTTCTCAGCAACCAAACAAATTACTCAAAAGAGAGAAACTGACAACAGAGGCATACCGGTTAGCGAGTTTGAGGGTTGAGACAACAAATTTCAATGTTTGAGACCCGAGAGAGTGTGTCAATGTCGTAAACAGAAGATTTTTTTCTTCTGATTTCCTAATTATCCAAGCAACAACAAAATGGCGTCATTTCCGTTTCTCGGAGTTTATATGTCTTTTTCTCTCACAGAACATTATTTACATCCATTTATATTTCTCCACGTGTACGATTGCAAAAATACAAAATCTCATTTGCCGCAGACGAACTCCACCCACATACCTCATCTTCTCACGTTAGCTCTTCGAAGAGAGACGACGCCTGTGCATCACAAAGATCGCGCACTCGCATTTCCGGAGAGAGAAACAAAAAACCCAATTAATTTTTGAAATGATGATGATGATTGAATCAGCTATGGCCGTCCGATTTCCCGCCGCCACAAATTTCTGCTCCTCATCCACCTTACACCGTAACTCCCTCCCCCTATCCTTCTCCTTTTTCTTTTGCCTTTTCGAAAATCATGACCTTTTTATGCTGTTTTCGGCTTCTTAGAAAAGCTGACCGAGTTACTTAAGCAGCTCAACTCAAGTCAGCTGCAACGAAGGGCTTGAAATGTTTAGTTTTTATTTTAAAGCTTTCTTGCAATTTCTTGGCAGTCAAACGGAGACTTAACCGTTTTGCATATGTTGTGCATGTACTGTTTGAGTAGATTATCGTCCTACGTGCAGCTCCGATGAGGTTACTAGTTGCCACGTCACCTCTCGCCGGCTGTTTCGCCGTGGCATCTTCGACGTAACGTGGTACTAAGTTTAATTTATATTTTCCTTTTTTTAGTAATTACTTGTTAGAAATTTCATCGTTTGCTGTGATTTTAAAATTTTATCCTAAGTAACTCATTTTTATTCTTCAAGAGAAAGGAACGGTGGAATGATGCATTATCTATGAAATATCATAAATTGATTGAATTCTAATCCTAAAAGGGGAAAAATTAGTGTTTTTCCTTTGGATTTTTCAATTTTTCGTGTATTTTGTAAAATGTTTCTGGAGATTAAGATAGTAGTTATGAATGTTAAGGCTTATGAGTTGTATGCAGGAATAGATTTCAAAGACTAAATAGTGCTTTCCTTTCGAGAAGGACTCTCATAAAGAATAACATTCGAGCGACAACAGAGCATTTAGGTTCACCATCCGATCCGACCAAGCAGAATGGAAGGCCACATTACCATCCATTTGAGGAGATTGGTGAGTCGACATCTAAAAATAGAGATGATGCTACACTCACAGCTGCAGAAACCTCTAGGACCATCATCGAGGTATATTGCATTAATTGTTGATTACAGAATCAACTTCCACAGGAATGGCTTTTAGTGTAATTAATATGTTTGTATATGGTATTCTTGTGTGTTATTCTTGAAGGAAAGTAAATTAGATGCATTTTGGTTTGGTTAACATTTGGAAGATGTCCTCTTATGCTTTTGATTCCTGCTTTTCAGCCAGAACAGGCTAATGTTGGCTGTAGTATGTCATTTTCAGGTGAATAGTAAAGCAACACTTATGTTTACGGCAATGATTCATGGTGAAGTTCATGAAAATATTATGTGGCCAGACTTGCCTTATGTAGCCGACGAACATGGAAGTAAGTTGACTATTCTCGTTTCAGGTATTTGAGCTTGACAGCCTCAACTAGCAAATTGAAGTTTTGCTCTGATGCCTTGCAGATATATACTTTCAAGTGAAAAGTGATGAAGATATTTTGCAAGGTCTTACTGTGGAAAATAACTTTGTGGTATGCAACATTTTCTTGCTGACAAACTTGCCAATGCATGATTTGTGCATATGCTGAAATGCCTGCATGCATGTCTCAAGATGGTGCTTAGATCTTGCACACAGTTTTCTCTTTTCTAATTTGACATTAGTATCATTTGTCTGTATAACCCATTCATAACTAAGATTTCTTGAGAAATGTGGTGCATACGGTATTTAAAATCATTGATTTGACATGTTAATGAACACATCATTCTAATCAGCAAATGGGCTTCATTTTAAGTAAATTTGAATTTTATAAGAATAATAATTTTTAGTTGTATATGAGAAAAGGTCAGCTAAGAATTGTCTTGTTTGCTGCTGTGTTCCTTAAAGCTTATGTAGTTTATATAATACAGCAAGTCATAATAGGCTTTGATACTACGGAAATCATGAAGGAAATCAAGTTATCAGGTCCATCAGAAGTTGATTTTGGAATTGAGGAAATTGAGGATGAAGATAGTGATATCGAAGATATTGATGAAGATGAGGATGAGGATGACGATGTTGAAGAAGATTATGATGAGGTTTGACCCTATCCCTTTTTCTCCATTTTCCTTTCAAATTTAACTTATACATGAAATTTGCTTTTTATACGAGATGTTTTCGCTAACCTGTCTACTGTATATATTAATTTTTTTTTGTAGGATTGGGTTGCTGCTCTTGAAGATGAAGATGATCAAGATGACTCTGATGGGACACTTGGAGACTGGGCAAAATTGGAGACTATGCGTTCGTCCCATCCAATGTACTTTGCCCAAAAGTTGACTGAGGTAATGACACTGTATGTTGATAATAAAGGCAAATTAGTGTACAAGCAGTGCTAGGAAGATGACATGAAGTAAAATCCACGTTCATGGCAACATAGCATTTAATAACATGTATTAAGTTTGAGTTTAAGTACCATAACATTGTCCCAATGGTTTTTATCTTTATTTCTGTTTTGTAGGTTGCTTCAGATGATCCTGTAGACTGGATGGAGCAACCTTCGGATGGTTTAGCTATCCAAGGCCTTCTAAGGCCTGCCTTCATTGAAGAACATTCTGAAATTCAGAAGCATATGTCTGCCAATCAGTCTCGTAGTTCTGATACAAATCAGGTTGAGAAAGTTGTGGGAGACAAAATAGAAGAACTTAGTATAATTAATGGTCACAGAAATGAATTAGGGTCATCGGGAGATAGTTCAACATCAGAAGAATCAGAGAAAAATGAAATCTCAATAAATGGGTCTTCGTTTTATAAATTAGAGATGATTAAAATTCAGCTAATTACAGCACATGGACATCAGGTTTGTAAAAGGCTTTCATGTTCTATCGTTTTCATCTCTTTTCTTCTGTAAATTTGGTTTAATTAACGTGTGAATATCCTTTTTTACGTGCATGAGATAGCATCCACAGTTATGTTCTTAAATACTGGGTTAGTTCTCAGCTAGAATAATCAAGTTGCTGATTGAGATGCATTGTTTGTTGCTGTAATGAAGAGACATTCTTTTGTAGCTGGATGGTCTCCGTCTCCTCATATATTTTGCAACATAGAAAGATCATTCCATGGAATAATTAAGTGCTACAAAGTCCAGAATTCTGCCAACAAAATTTTTAGTTAAGACAGATAGGTCAATTGCCTTTTCGGCAATATTAAAGGTTTTTCTATGATACAACCTCTTATTTTCATAGCACCTGTTGCATCAACTACTTTGTGACAAATCAGATGCTTTTTCTGGCCTGTCTTTGCTATTGCTAGTAGGAGTAATATTTTCTTCTTTTTTTAGTTTTCTTTTTGGCCTTTTTCCTCCATATAAAATTTCGGGACAATAATTGATTTCTTCTGCTTGTCCAGACAGATGTTGAATTAGAAGACTTCAAGCAAGCTCAACCTGATGCTATTGCACACACAGCTGCCAAAATTATATCTCGCCTAAAAGCTGCTGGAGAGAAGACCATACAAGCACTCAAATTACTCTGTTGGAGAAGCAAGGGTATTCAAGTCGAGGTAAAAAAATAAAAAATAAGTAAATAAAAATAAAGGTTATGAAATCAATTTGGTATGTGCAAGTCTGCTGTCTAGATTTTTGTTGAGCTACAGCCACGCTATTTGACTATTTTGCAATGTCTCCTCTAAGAAAAAGGAGTCATTGCCCTAATATACCCCAATTACCTGTCCATCACCATTTAAGTTGGAAGGAAACGTTATACCATGAGAAACCTGTCTGGCCTTGATATTATTTTTGCGTTAGCTAAGACATTTTATTGATGTTTTAAATGATTATTCATTTTCTTTGCTATCCATTGTAGGAGGTAGCTATAATCAGTGTGGATTCCCTTGGATTTATCGTGAGAGTTTGCTCTGGAACCCAAATTGAAACCTTAAGATTTGCATTTAACACCCGGGTATATTAGTTATATATCCCTTGCCTTTTTTCTTTGTTCTTTTTTAAAATCATTATTGATGTACAATATGCCAGCAGTGCTTAAAATCAAGTTTCCATAACTAATAATCTTGCCACCTTTGTTTGAATTGAATTGCACTTTGCAGGCCACTTCAGAGTATAGTGCTGAGAGACAACTTAACGATTTGTTGTTCCCGAGGAGCCATCAAAAGCCACATAAAAAGAAAACAGGCTCCTCAAAATGAATGCTAAAAGTTGTCAAATAGAGGATGTCCAGCTTAGTTCTGGACGGTTTCTTGTATATGGCAGGCTCAAAGAAGAAAAGGAAAAAACCTTGCAGTCTGCTATCGAATGTATTTGTTAATGCGGTAATGATTATTGGTGTATTCTTTTCTTCAATCATTTTTCCTTGATGGAAATGTAATTTAATCTACCTACGATCAAGCAGAAAAGTGTATGGAACTAAAGGCTCCTTCTCTAGAAGCCAATTCAAAAACAGGTTTCCAATCAAGCAAAATGATAGAATCTTCAAACATCTAAGGTTAAATGGCAGATATGAATTAGTTTAAAATGTAAAAGCTAGATTATTCATTTGTAGCAGTTGACAAGGTTCATAGCTATTGAACACACGATGAAAATAAATGAAGCCGGACAAGGACATGTCTAAGTCTAACCTCTGTTCTTGAGGTAAGTTTCGTAGACCAATTGTGCTGCCAGAATGTCCACAACAGCAGAACCAACAGATTTAAACACAGTAATATCCTCAGAATTCCTCCTCCCAACCCTCTCTCCTTTAATCAACTCCACCAAATTTCCCCCAACATCTTCCTTCCCAATAACCCCTCTCTCGAAAGCACCCACCAGTTCCCCTGCCTCCATCAGAGCCGCCTCATTGTCAACATAAACTCTCCCTCTCCTTATTGCCTCATCATCACATTCCTTCATTGTATGCGTAAACGACCCAACCAAATCCAAATGCGCCCCTGCCTTCAATCTCTCGCCTTTAACAAGCGGCACTTCAGAATTTGTAGCACAGCTAACAATATCTCCCAATTCAATGATTTCCTCCAGTGACTCATTGCTCTCGAAACAAACCCCATTATATTCATCCCTTCCTCGCAGATTCTCAGCCAAGTCAGTGGCTTTCTCAATCGTTCTGTTCCAAATTATCACCTTTTGCAAACTGGGATTAGCTGCTAAATGGGCTTTGATCAAATGAGGTGCCAAATTGCCTGCACCAATCATGACAAGGACTTTGCTGTCATTTCTTGCCAATATTTTTGAAGCCAAGCCTGATACACATGCAGTTCTGTAAAGGGTCAATACGGTTCCATCCACAGATGCCAATGGTTGCCCGGTAGTTGAGTTGAAGAGCACGTAATTAGCATGCACACAAGGTAAGTTTACGGTTGAGTTTTGTGGGAAATACGTGACGAGCTTGACACCTATGTAGGGAAGAGATGGGGATGAGGACCAGGAGGGCATGAGGAGAAGAGAGGAGGATGGTGAGAGGGGGTAATTTTGGCGGATTGGGTTATTGATTGTGGAGGAGACAGTGGGAAGAGAAGAATGAAAGTGTCGGATCAACGAGTGGTGGGAAACTATGGAGTGAAGAGATTCGGAGATGAAGATTGGGGAATTGATGCTGCTGCTGAGATTTGCGTTAGTGTTTTGGGGGTTTTCACTATTGATTGGGTTTGGTTTCGATGCCATTGGAGATAATTTGGAAGGAGAGGAAGAGAAGCTGGTGGAAGAACCCGAGAAGAGGCGACCAAGACTTTGCTTTTAAAAAAAAATGATCGGGAGTTGCGGGTCAAACTACTCTAAATAGTAGTACCCACCCTTACATGTTGAAGACCATACCAATACCTTTGCCAAAATGAGTTGCCAGCCTTGAGAATTTCTACAATAGCCACTTGTGCATCACTCACTCTCGACCATAAGAGAATCAAATCCATGGTCCCTTGCTAAACCCAGACCAAAAAGGATGGCTTCAGCATGAAGAGGAGAAGCAACATGATCTACTCGCACTCAAGAGGACTACTCCACTCCATTCCTAGTCCAGCCATGCCCTCATCAGAGCATCAAACGAGGCATCCATGTTCACCTTCCACTCCTGAGCAGAAGGTGGTTTCCAAGTCAGCATGGGCTCGTCCATCCACCTATCATTCACAGCAACTAATTTGAAGAATTTCATTGCTAGCCCATGCGAGAAGCTGAGTTGATAATAGCTATACGAACACTACTAACAGAATCGTGGTAGCATTTGTTCCTGTTTGACCAAATCAACCATAAACACATTAAGGCTGCACTCCAACTGATTATGCTGATTTTTCGTTATCAGGAAGTTCAACCAGAATTCCGAAGAATCATTCCACTTATCCAAGAAAGGTAACAGCCACACTGATTCATTATCAACTCCACAAACGACTCATTATCAACTGAAAATCCCCGTGTTCTGCAGAGCAAGCACATTTGATTTTGGGCATGACTCTGGCTTTCCAAATTAAATTCCAAACCAGGGATGGATGCGCCAGCCTAGGAACATCCCTGCCCAAAACCCTTCTAGCCAAAAATTATGCTTACTTATCCTATAAAATTCATCCAGCAAAGATTCAGTCCATATCAGTTTATCCAATGAGCTCCTACGACTCAAAGGTAAATGAAGGATGGCCTCATCATCCGCGGGGAAATATAACTCAAGTATCATTTCAGCATTCCATTTCCTCACCTAGTGGTAATTAAGCCAGCCACCAATAGCAAATCATTAGCATCATCTGGACGTCTACGTTGGTTGCTCGGTGGCTTATTAAGCCACTTACTATTCCAAACATCTACTTGTGCTCCATCTTCCACTCTCCAATGAAGGCCCTCCCACTAAAACTTCTCTACCAGCCAACAGACTTCATATAAAAGAAGGATTCGTTCCTAACTCAGCATTTAAAACAGTTGAATTAGTAAATTGCCTAGCTTTAAGAACCTTAAAACATAAAGGAGAATCACTCTGAACTAATCTCCAACAATGCTTGGCTAGAACAAGATTGAAAGTTTCAAAATCTTCCTCAAAAAATAAACTAGAATCACTATGCACCAATCTCCAACATTGCTTGGCTAGAAGAACAAGATTGAAAGCTTCAAAATCTTGAAGTCCTAGCCCTCCATCCAACTTGGATAAACATAAATCATCCCAGCATCTCCAACGAATGCTCTTTTTAGCATTGTTATCACCCCACCAAAAACCAGCAGTAATCATGTTAAGCTCATACATGAAACTCTTGCGTAACTTGAAACAACTCATACAATACATAGGTATTGCTTTGAGCCACCGCCTGAATCAAAACTGCTTTCCCTGCATAAGACGGTTTACCCTTCCAACCTTCCAGTCTTCTCACACCTTATCCTTTATCTTCTGAAATTCAATCTTCCATGCCCTACCAATCATAAATGGCAATCCCAGATAAACAGTCCGAAGACAAATTTTTCTGAAATACAAGGCATGTCTGAACCTCACCCTGCACATCCACCAGTGTGTTCGAACTAAAAAAGAGCAGCAGACTCATCCACATTCACCAGCTGCCCCGAGGCCCTCTCATACTGCTTTAAAATCTCCAGAATTGCCTGGCACTCGGGTATATTAGCTCCAAAAGTCATCAGCAAAAAATAAATGAATTACCCTTGGCACTTGTCTAGTCACCATAATCCCTTTGTATTACTCCACTAGAATCAGCCTCATTCAAAGGACAGGATAAACGTTCTACCGTAGCAGATCCCGAGTCCTCTAGCTGGTGAAATCTGAGTTATTGCTAAGCTGGAACTTTAATAGTCCAATTAATTTGAGCGAAGTTTTTGAAGCAATTAGCTCTTTTGTTCCTTGTATTTCCTTCTAAATGCTCATAATTAGCTGATGTTGTTAAGTGTCAAAAGTTAAAACTTCTGTTCTACCCAATTCCCCAATCTTCATCTCTGAATCTCTTCACTCTATAATTTCCCATCACTCCATGATCCAACACTTCCATTTTTCTCTCCCCCATTGTATCCTCCACAATGAATACCCCAATCAGATTGTCTATCTGATTTATTAGGCTGGCAACTCGCTCTTATTAGGAAGCTAGTGTTACACAACAAAATTTCATTGATGATAGAGAGACTGCATGTACAATGGACCTCATACAACAAGCTGGCATATATGTTCAGTCAACTTGGACACCATCTGAACAAACCCTTATTATTTCTGCATCTTCCACCACAATCCTAACATGGAGCTGTTGTTAGGGTAGTGTAACAGCCTGCTGGTTGGAATATCTTCCATTGGCAGAAAGCTAGAATATCTTATAGATAATCTGTTTCAATCCTTAAATTAGCTGAAGTGCGTAGTTCAACCTGGGTTGCAGTCCTTTCAGCTGCCATCCACCAGTCATCATCTTCATCATTCACGTTTTCCTGATGGTAAAGTTAGAGGAAACTTAAGTAGTTTTAGGAAAATAAGTAACTAAGATTCTTATAAACATTCCTTCAATATTATAAGGCAGACCAGCAACATAACCTTCAAGGAATCCAGATAATATAATGAGGGAACTGCAGAAAAGTAGATGTTTAAGTAAACTAACCACATCATTGAGCATCAATCTTTCTGGCTTACTTTCAATATTGTCTGCAACTTTTATAGCCTCAAGCCACCATGAATCTTTAGTACAGTTGTCTAAATCACTTTCATTGCTGTAAAGCAAACCCCTTTCCTCATCATTGATGACTTGGCATTCAAGATTGTTACGTATTAACCCATCATCATCAACTATCTGTCTAGAATCAAAGAAAAATGAAGGACCAGGGATGCAGTCCATTGGTATTGGACGCAAGGGAGATCGGTAACCTGCTACCATCAACAATATTAGTGCAAATTGTTAGTCATGCATAGAGGGCAAACTAATGAGAATAACAAGAAGTTTCACACACCTTTGCAATCTGGATCATAACACTTCTGATAATAAGCTGCCCTTCTCATATCAACAACATACATCACTGAAGCAGAACAATTGAGATGAATGTTAGACTCTTTGTTATCTACATAATTAAATTAAAATAATAGGAAGTGTGGGAAAACACTTATTTACAACTTATTGTAATATTGTAATGTGTATATTTAATTTGTATCTCTAAAATTAAGTATTTGTATCCTGAGAATTAAAGATAGAAAATTAGGATAAATAGTCCCTCAATTATAAGATCAGTTTTAAGAAGATTTAGTTTTCTAGTTTACCCACTAATTAGTTGTTTATAAACCTAAGGTGCTTATATAATTCTTTTAAGAGCAGTTTTTCAATATACATTCAGTTTTACTCTTAGTTTTCCATACAGTTTTATTTTTTAGTTTTTCAACATGGTATCAGAGCTTTAGGCTTTTCTTAGGAAGAAAATTTGTTCAGCCTTCATTGTTGAATTCTATTTTAGGCATTCATAGCCAAATCTTGTTAAATCTTTCAATCTTATTTTTTCCTTCTTTGGCCTTCATTGCCTAGAATCGTTTCTGGTTAAACTTTTACTATTAAGACTTGTTTCAGTCCTGAGAAATATAAGCATGCCAGAAATAGCAAGATCTGCCATTATTACCCGATTTGAGAAAGTGACAACTAGTAAAAACACCAAAGTACTACAGAAGTCTTAAGGACAAAGAAAGTTGACAGAGAGGAGATTGAGAAACTAAGAAGCCCATCGAAAACTCTTGAAAAGCTTACTAGGTATGTTTTTGGGTAAGGTCTCTAGTTCAAGTAAAGCCTCTGGTTCTCATGAATTAAACTTCTTGATTAAGCCTATTATGAGTTCTTAGATCATTGACTCAAAAGACACAGACCATGTGACACATTCCTCACAGAAGTTTAGTATATATACCCCATATCCTAGTAATAAGAAAATTGTTGTTGCAGATTGTTCACTTAGTGACAGGATTAGGAGATATTCAAATTAATCACTAGTTTGTTCTTAAAAATGTTTTTCATGTTCTTGGATTGTCTACTAATCTGATATCTATACAAAAACTTACCAAAGACAAACTGCAAAATGACTTTTTATCCCTCCTATTGTGAATTTTAGGGCCAAAGTTTGGGGAAGAAGATTGGACTTGCTAAAGAAAAAGATGGACTATATTATCTTGAGACATCAAACAACACAATTAATATTAGAAATAGTTTACCTTTGTCATTTCTTTCTGAAAAATCTCTCAATAAAGACAAAATCTGATTTTATCATTTTTGTCTTGGACATCCTTCTTTTGGAACTTTGAAAAACATGTTTCCTTCTTTATTCAAAGGATTAAATGTCGAAAATTTTCATAGTGATAGTTGTGAACTTGCAAAGCATAGATGTGTGTTTTTTCCAATTAGCAATAAAAAAAGTTCTACTTTTTTTTACTAGATCATAGTGACATATGGGATCCTTCTACAATTCCTAATATTTCTAATGTAAGGTGGTTTGTTTCTTTCATAAATGATTGTACCAAGGTCTCTTGGATATTTTTACTTAAATCCAAATTAGATGTGAATAGTGTATTTAAGCTTCCAAAACATGATCCAAAATCAATTTGGAGTGAAAATCAAGAGATTTAAGTCTGATAATGCAAGAGACTATTTCAACTAGAGTTTATCTACCTATTTCCAAAAGAAAGGATTATCCATGAGTCATTTTGTGTTAATATTCCACAGCAAAATGAAGTAACAGAGAGAAAAAATAGCCATTTACTAACCACAACTTGAGCTTTACTTTTTCAAACAAATGTACCCAAATCCTACTACGGAAAAGCTGTTTTTACTACCACACATATTATAAATAGTTTACCTACAAGGGTTTTGGGATATAAAACTCCTATGGAACTACTCACACAATTCTATCCCAACTTTAATACCACAAACAACCTCACACCCAGGATATTTGATTGTATATCATTTGTTCATGTTCACAATCATAATAGGGGGAAGTTGGATCCTAGAGCAATTAAGTGCATTTTTGTGGGATATTCATCAACTTAGAAAAGGTATAAGTGCTATCATCCTCCTACCAAAAAAATTCTCTATCTGCAAATGTCACTTTTAAAAAAAGCAAACCATTTTTTACTCAACCTTATCTTCAGAGAGAGACTTCATTCATGGAAGATAAGGACAAAGACTTTTTTTTGCTTAACTTGTCATCCTTTTCAATATTTTCACCCATTAATTCTTTTCAGTCTAAACTTGTTTTTTCTTAGTGCAAGTCAAACATTGAATTTGAGTCTAAACCCATTCCAAACACTGAATATGTGACAAAGGATAATATTGTTTGTGATTTTTTTGAAGGAATTATAGGTGTACTCAAGAAAGAAAGTTTCAGATCCTGAATCGATGCAAATCCAAGAACCTGATCCTAACTCTGGAAATAAGGTAACTACAATATTTGACTATATTTCTCAAAATAAGCATGAATCTTCTAAAACTATAACTAGTGATTATGATCTGCCTATTGCCATTAGGAAAAGAATCGGAGAATGTATTAAGCATCCACTATACCCAATCTCTAATTTTGTCATTTGAAAAATTATCACCATTCCACAAAAATTTCCTTGTGAGCCTAAACACTATTTCTGTTCCAACTACATTGTCCAAGGCATTATCTAGTGAGAAATTGAGGCAAGCCATGAAAATAGAAATGAAGCCTTAGAGAAAATAAGACATGGGAATTGGTAGAGGAAAAAATCCAGTTGGGTGTAAATAGGTTTTCACTGTAAAATATAAGGCGGATGGTACTATTGAAAAGTATAAAACCAGGTTGGTGGCTAAAGGCTACACTCAAACTTATGGAATAGATCATCATGAAACTTTTGCGTCAATTGCCAAGATGAATACAGTTAGGATTTTGTTACCATTGGCTGCAAATTACGATTGGCAGCTTCAACAATTTGATGTAAAGAATGCTTTTCTACATGGTGATTTGGAAAAGAAATATATATGAAGGTTCCATTGAGATTTGGAGGTCATCTAGAAGCAAACAAAGTATGCAAGCTGAAAAAGGCTTTATATGGCCTTAAACAGTCTCCTAGAGTTTGGTTTGAGAGATTTTCCAAAGTGATGCTAGCAATGGGATATAAGTAAAGTCAAGGAGATCACACATTGTTTATGAAGCACTCTGATTCAAGGAAGGTCACAGTTCTATTAGTGTATGTTGATATAATTGTAATTGAAGATGATGAAAAAGAAAGAGAATCTCTAAAACAGTGTTTGGCTAGAGAATTTGAGATAAAAGAGCTAGGGAGATAGAAATACTTCCTAGGAATTAAAGTAGCTCACTCACGGCATAGTATTTTTATATCACAACAGAAATATATGATGAATCTTTCGAAAGAAACTAAGAAGCTCGCATGTAAACCTGTAAATACCCATGTAAATCCTAATCATAAATTTGGAGAAGCTAATGAAGATGTTGTTATATATAGAGAGATGTACCAAAGATTAGTTGAAAGACTCATTTATCTGTCATATACTAGACTTGATATAGCATATGTTGTTAATGTGATAAGTCAATTTATGCATAGTCCTAAAAAAGTGCACCTACAAGTTGTCTACCGTGTATTGCACTATTTGAAGGCCAATTCTGGGAGAGGTATCTTATTCAAAAGAAATTCGAGGTTGGTTCTAAAGGCATACACATATGCGGATTATGCAGGTTTAATAACTGATAGAAGATCCACTTCAGGCTACTGCACTTTCCTAGGTGGTAATCTTGTGACTTAGAAGAGTAAAAAACGAAATATGATGGCAAGATCAAGTGTTGAAGCAAAGTTCAGAGCAATGCCTCAAGGAATTTGTTAACTATTATGGTTAAAGATTATCCTAGAAGACTTGAAGATCAAGTGGGATGTACCAATAAGACTCTACTGTGATAACAAGTCTGCAATAAGCATTGCACCCAATCCTGTGCAACACGACAGAACAAAACACATTGAAGTAAACTGGCATTCATAAAGGAGAAACTAGACAATGGGTTGATTTGTACATCGTATGTATCAACCAAGGGTCTACTTGCAGATGTGTTGACTAAAGGTCTTAGCAGTGCAACATTTCAAGAAATTATTTCCAAGCTAGGAATGGGAATGAAAAACACCTATTCACCAGCTTGAGGGGAACTGTGGGAAAACACTTATTTACAGCTGGTTGTAATTTTGTAATTTGTATATTTAAAATTAAGTATTTGTATCCCTAAAATTAAAGACAAAAAATTAGGATAAACAATCCCTCAATTATAGAATCAGTTTTAGAAAGATTTAATTTCCTAGTTTACCCACTAGTTAGTTGTATATAAACCTAAGGTACTTGTCTAATTCTTTAAGAGCAATTTTTCAATATAAATTCAGTTTTACTCTTAGTTTTTCATGCAGTTTTATTTTTTAGTTTTTCAATAGGAAGTTCAACAGTACAAGCCAAATATATCAACTGCAGGTTATTTCAACAGTAACCTTTTAATATTCTAGGGGTTTGGTGGTACTCTAATCATAGTTTTGGAAGGTACATTTGGGTAAGTTAAGTCTTTAATGAAGTATGGTATCAAGAACATAAAACAAGTATGATAAGTACCATGATGTATACATGATAAACCTAATAATCATAATTAATAAAGACAATTAAGTGATCATCTTGAAGCAATTGGATTAAAACTAAATAAGCATACCATGATTGCTCTTATGCTCTCTACCAATTCGCTCACAATATCGATTTCTTGACATGCTGTAGACAACTAATCCATACTCAGAGAACCAATACCAGCTTCGTATTTTCCCTTTAACAGCAGCAAATTATCATGAAAGTCAGTAGTTGATGAAGAAAATTAATAACAAGGTTTTGTTAAGCGTTATGAAAGCGGAGGATAAAAAATGGATATTACTGATAACACTTTTGTCATGTATGAACATAAGAAAACAATAAAGTTGAATTCCTCTCAATCACAATCTCTCTAGCAAAGCATAATATAACCACACATTGCAACAAGGGAAAAAATGTCAGATCAACTCCCTCAAACCAAACAGAACCCAACCCTCAAAACAAATTCTGCTGCATTGGAATTCTAGTTAACCAGATAATATGGAATCATGTTTCAAATCCACAATAAATATATCAACAACATTTCAACCAGAATAACTTAAATCTCTGGCTAGTTCTTGTTCAAATGTGGAAGGTGAATCAATGTAAGTGTACTGTAAAAATGAAACAGAGTATCATTAAATCAGGGCTTAGATTATCCTCCATATAAATCAAACATGCTTGATTCATTTGCTATTTAAGTTAAAATAAATGATACCACCTGATACATTACCGGTGGAGGCAATTGATTCTATAAATTCATCCAAAGATGGGAAGGGCGACTTTCCCGTTAGGCATGTTGTAGAAACATCACTAATGTGAGTTTTTTCTTGAAGAGCTTTGCAATATTTTCCAAAATTACTAGTTACCTGCATAACAGAAGATTTTGATCGTGAACATATAATATAATATTTTAACACAAAAGTAAAAGCCTCTTCTATTCAGAGAGAAAGAGAACTTAGAAGCTTCTACTCAGCGTAAATAACAATATTCCAAATGTCAGGGTCCTGAGATGTGACAACCAATTGCACATATTTATAATTAGTACCATACTACCATGCTGATTGCTTTGAAGTTTTGCATTCCTCTTAAACCCAAAAATATTGGAATTTGCATAAGTGAGATAGAATAATATGTATATTAATACACACAATTAAACTACAAGGTAGTAAAGTGATGAAACCTAAGGCAGAGTTCAAATCTACCTCTGTCTCAAAATGCAGAGTCTTTACACAATCTAATTCCATTTTGCAAACCAAAAGTTTCTCACAATCAATGTCCATGTTGCAGATTAAGGATGCCATGATCATGTCCTCCTCACCCTGTTGTTCAACAAAATATCTTCATTTAAAAGTTATGTCAGAAGACAGCTCTATCTCATAAATGGTTAGCAGTTAGCTTCTGATAAGGACATGAATATTTTGGTTAGCAATTCTTCATGGCATGTCATCTTACAGCACCAGTGTACATTCAACATTTCCATGGCAGTAAAATTGGGAATAATGCACATTTTGCATCGAACATTAGTAAAACAGATAAGTAAGGTTAAGAGTGGAAAACATATCTCTTTAATCAACAAATCTAAGCCCTGGTAAACTGGCGGGACCATGCTTTCTTTAGGAAAACAATACTAATTAAGATATTGAGAAAACAAAATATCTTGATAAAATTTAGCTGTTACTTTCACTGTAAAAACTTTGCAAGCAATTATGCCACTCCACTGACATAAAAGGATAAATACACTACACATATTTCTGCTATATGCATGGTCACTGAGAAATTTTTAGAATAATAGAAATAAGTTGCCTGTACTATATAAGAAGCGTCTTTTCCAACATGCACTAAAAAAAAAAAAAAAAACACAAAGAACCAGAATACCTTGTCATGAATTAAACCCACTGCATTATAAGTTGTAAGGCTCAAGCAAGTAAATTACCATACCATATCCTTACATTTGAAACGCTCGGTGGGTAGAAGGAAGGAAGTCTTTCCTGCTTTTGATGATAGAGCCAGGCGAAAGCAACGATTTCTAGAATAGACAGCAGTGTCCACAAAAAGTTGGCCAGGTGATTCAGCAGAGGTTGAATCTTTTTTCACAAATAATTTTTCAAACCTTTCATCCCTTTCCTTTGAACTTGCTATCCGTGAGCATATCTGGTAAAAGTCATCAACTAGTGGCAATGGTTGACATTTTGACGCATAACAAACAAAAGAAAAGAAGATTGAAACTATAGCCGGTTTCCCCTCTTGGAGATAACACAACAATGCTATTTATTACATTAAAAAAATGGTTATTTTTAAGTAAGGCATACCTCTTTAACAAATGCACCCACATGCAAGTTGTCCTTAAAAGCAGTCTTTGGTATACGCATGATCAAATGGCGAGAAAACTTATCTGCAGTTGAATGTTTATAGAGACAGGAATTAATATTAAGAAACAAACCCCAATATGAATAGGAAAGCATGCATCCTGGAAATAAATGATTTAGTGTATATTTTTATGATGTTGGCTGATATTGTCAAATGTACAAAGATATCACAAAATGACAAGGAGAACAAAGTCCTATGACCTAGAACAAAACTGTACCTTCAGTAGAGGAATCAAGCTCCACCACCCAATCCTGATTTCCATTGATAGAGTATTTTTCAAGTAAGGCTTCTAGAATGACAGAAATCAAGAGATCAACCATTTCATCTCCGTCCCTTCCCAAATTGTCTCTCTTATTGAACTCCAAATCAAAGTACAGATGGCATGGCAAACCCTAGAAACAACACAGCAACAATCAATAAAATAATAAAACCAATGACCAAAAGAAGGGTTAGATGTTTCCTCATGGACAATTTCAGGTTTTACTACTCAAGCACAGACAAAGGCATAAACAGAAACTGGCTAGAACAGAAAACTGAAGTGGAAATAATATTACACATGCAAATTCAATTGTGGGAAGATATGCAGAGGTTTCTACCTCCTGAATCACTTCATAGTGATGACGAAGTTTTGATTCCATAATTTTGTACCTGGAAAGACAGGATTGCAACAAGCAAAGAGTTTAAAAAGAAATTATCTCATGAAGTAATTAAGTCTGAACATGCAAGAAACAATAGTAAAGACCTCTTCCAGAACTCCTCATATGTAGAAGCAAGATATCTCCTTTGCCCACTGTAGTGGTCTTGATAACTAAAAACATGTGCATTTGCATGTGCTTTAGCAAACTTTACTGCCTCATCCTGTCTTGGAAATGTAGCCCATACTTCTGTTCTAATAAATGAGTAACAAGAGCCAAGTCAATCAAAAAGGGCAGTAAGGAAAGGGATACACCGATGCTTTTGAATCAGAAAAGTAATAAAACGGACTCCTACAGCTACCTTAAATTTGACTTCTCTTGTTCACTGAGATCAATGCGAATTTCACGTAATAAGCGCAGCAAACTCTGTGGTCTTTTTGGAGGAACACCATGTGGGGAACCGTAAAATATAACTGGAGAGATCTGTTTCCTGCGGCTCAATTTTCCTGCCTTAATTGCTGTTGAAACACACTAAAGGAAACATAAAATTTGGTAAATGTCTACAGATGATAATGAAGAAATAATGAATAGGTAACAATAAGTACAAGTCAGAGAAGCTAACTTTAGAATTCCATTATTAAGTCAAACGAAGCCAAACTTGGTTCAAATAAGTGAATCCATGTTTCTAATGTCTCTTTTCAGGCAATCTAGGTCTTAGTTCCTTGCTGTGCTCAACCAAAACATGCATGACCAGTAAGATATAAACTTACATGGAACAAAAGCAATTTAAACTACATACCTTCTCAACAGAAAGTTCGGCACTGATTGCATTTTCCTTTCCTTGTTCGGATGATCCTAGGGAAGGTGACAATGAGACCTTTCTTGTTGAATTTTCTCGATTCAACTTCCTTTTACATCTTTTTCTTTCCCTTACAGCAGATTCTAACAAAAAAAAAAAAAAAAAAAACAGAACAAGATTCCTTATTATTCTCCCTTTTTTCTTTAATTAGCATAACACATGAAAATCACATAAAATTGTAGTGGACTAACAGCAGAAGGAATTCATAGTACTAATATCGATGCGATGATGACTAAGATTGCGAAGAAAAGAAAAGCACGGAATATTTGAACTCATGCGAGAAATATAATCAAACCCTCATCAAGAATTTGATAAGAATCACGCTCCACATTTATCATTATCAACAACTGGATTTCAAAGTAATTTTGGGGTTTATTTCACAAAAAAGAAAAGATTAGAAAAAAAGGGAGTGAAGCTTACGAGGAGGAGAGATGCCGCACTTGAAGCATTGGAACAATCGGTCGACGTCGTCCATTGTGCTCGTATTTCCCTTCTTCGCCATTCTCTTCTTTTTCTTTTTTCCCTTCACTGCTAACTGAGCGGGAATTTAATTTTTCAATGACACCACCGACTTTCACTTTGTCTATTCAAAGAAAATCCCTAACGTTCTTTTCTTTTCTGTTTTTCAAATTTCCCTTGATAAATTTAAACTGCAAAGCTTAAGGCGGTTTATCATTTTATAATTTCTTTTAATACCGTAATATCTTAATTACAGTTGACAGATGTCTAATTTTCAAAGGATCTTAATAAACACCTGTCTAAAACTATAGAATAATTATTTTGCCCTTAACAAAAAACTTTTAAAATATTTTGATTATGAATTTTGTGTTATGATAAGTTTGGACAAGAGACTTTATTTATAAAGAGAATTTCAAAATGAAATGATTTTTTTTTTTCGTGTTCCCAAAGAGTGGTAGAACCTATTACAATCTTAAGGTTATTACCACATAATGATTATCACCTCGACTTAAAGTTTAATTAGTCAAATAATCAGCATAAAAGTTTACTCCTTCGAAGATTTGTTGAATTTTGTACTTCCAATTTCTACTTATAAACTGTTGACATTATTTTTTTTTTTTTTAAATCAAGAGAGTCTTATATTAAGAGAAAAAAAAAAGTTGAGATTCGAACTTCGATTTAGATATTTTTTTTAAAATTATTTTGATTATTAAATTAAACAATTAAAAATTATTGATATTAATTAATAACATAATAAAAGAGATTTTTTTGCATGCTTAAATTAACCGTCAACAAAAAAAAAAGATTCAATAATAACTTTCCAAAGTCTCTCTCCCAAACTAATTTTAGTCCATCTAAATTTAAATTGCATACAATTCGGCCTTAAGCATCGAACCATATCCAATTTTTCTAACAAACCCAAATATTTGATAGCCATCTAAATATCGTGCAATGTCTCCAATACCCAAATCACCTGGATTAGAAGAAGCAGCACCATCTACGTTAATTTTAATAAAAGTAATGGAGGAAGTTTCCAAGCAATAAGAGAGACCTGATTAACATAAGTCGTTTGATCTGATGGTAAGCAAAAAACTCCCTAACCCTGTCTCTAACAATATTAGTGGTATAATCAGGTAGAGTAAATCCCTGTTCAAATATGCATTTATTCCTCCATTTCCAAATATTCCAGCAACCCAACAAAATCGGTCAAGGGATTCCATCATGCACAACATTACTCCTAGCAAGATTAAAAAAGATCCAATTCTGTAGGGACAAAAAAAGAAAATGTTCCAAGTTAGAGCCCGCAATCCAACAATTCCTTAACATACCTAAGAATTTGCAATCTCTAAGTAAGTGTAGTTACTATTCAATCTAATTCTGATATCTTTGACGGAAGGCTGAAGTTGAAATCTCTCTAACTATACACGTCTCCCTTGTTAGTATCCTGTTATGCAATACTAACCACAAAAAATCTTTTCTACGAGGAGGCACATCTAATTTCCACAACTTTAAACATTGGGCTGAAGGTCATCTAATAACAGCTTGTAAGTCGAAGATACTGAAAAAATACCATCCGAAGCTATAGACCAAAACAACTGATCCTCCCTGTCATAAGACAATGAAAACACACATAATTGATATTTAACCGACTCCAGTATATCCGCAATCCTGCTCCAATCTCAATCCCCATTTGAATTCACAAAATCACTTACACACTACGATTCATCTATGCTTGACAAAACTCAGTTACATCTTGTTTTGAGAGGCTGATCACCCAACCACTTATCACACAAAAAGAGGTTTGGTTCCCATAGAATATAAGTTTCCCAAACCCTTGCATTACCAACTCCTTACTCCAAATAATACTTCTCCAAGTATGAAAAGCACTAAGTTTTTTAAAGGCTTGAAAAAAAATTAACCCCTTTTAAATATTTAGCCCTTAACACCCTACTGTATAACTCACTGTCCCTTTCACCTAAACGCCATCCAATCTTGGCCAATATGTTGTTTGACAAAATAAAAAATATAATTATCAAAATTTTTTAAATTTGAATGAAAATTTTTGGAAGACTCAAATTCTCTTTTCAAATTCCATCTAAGTAGATAGAATTTGTAAATTTTTTTAGTTTTATGATAAAAAATCAACATTTACCATATTTTCTTTTTTTGTGTAACTTTTTTTTCTTCAATTTTAACTACAAAAACTCATTATATATATTTTTAAATTTTTTCATATTATTAGTAATATCTACACATTTTTACAAATATAATGACACTCATTATATTTTTTTAGTATTTTGCTTTTTCTATTTATATATCATTATTTATCTATTATAATTACTCTTATCTCATCAAAATCTAATATTTAAAATTTTTTTCTAAAAAATAATTATCTAAACAATGCAATTATAAATGTTGTTATTTTAAATGATGCATTTTAAAATACTAATATTTCAAAATTTTTAAAAATTTCAAAAATTTTTGTTCAAATGTACCATTAAAGTTTTGGAAAGTTGACCTATTCAAAGAGAATTTATCTAAACAATTAGATTGGACTATTTATAAAAAAAATGTCTTAATTTCTTACATTTATTATTTGTATTTAAAAAATTTGAATTAAATCCAATAACAAATTAAAAATTTACTAGTTCATTTTTTTGTTGCTTATTTAGTTTTTTACATGAATTAAATTTATCAATTACTTTTATAAATCAAAGCGTTAAAATAAAAAAATAATATTTTATTAAATAAATTAAACAATAAAAACTATATAGAATTTTTTTAAAAAGAATTTTATAACATAAAAATTAATATATTTTTATATCATAAATATATATATATATATTAAGCTATATAATAAAATATAAATATTTTAACAATTGTATATAAATTAAAGTTTCAAATATGTTTGTATTATATAATTTATAAATAAATAATTTTTATATATTTAATTAACCAAATATGATTATTTTAAGATTAATACATATATTGAAATATATAAAAATAATTTTTTAAAAAATTAACAATTATTATTTAATATGATTTAATTTAAAACTATATTTTAAAATTAGGTCAATAAAAATTATAAATATTAAAAGAAGTCTTTTGACAAAATAAGGGCCAACTATCTAGTCAAATAATTACTATTTTTAGGCATTAAGGTTAATTGCTTTTAAATCAAAAATGTCAAAGACAAATGACATATGGATCTTATGTGACTCTAATTAATATTTATTTTTAATTAAAAAATATAATTAATATAATAATTTATAATAACTTTTTAAAGTGTCTTTTTGCCTTTAAAAAGTTGTTGCTAATGGTAAAAAATATTAATTACAAAATGAATGAAAAAAATACAACTTATGCAATGCCTTTAAGATTTTATTTTTACATACTAATTTATAAATTTTTAAAGGCAAAATAATATGTCATAAATATTAATATATGGTGGGATTTCCATCACATCTAACCATTTCTAGTATCTTTTTCAAGATATAGTAACTTAGTCTTTTCACTTATAAGGTATTTGTTTATGGATAAAATAAAATTTTTTGTTAGAATCTTATTTTTTTATAATTTGATTCTTTCATTCGGTTTACAATATATGATTTTTGAAGTTTTAAAAATTTTTTAATAATGTCAAGAAAGAAGAAGTATGAGGAATCAAAACTCTCTTCTCCTTAAAGTTTTTTTAGATTTCAAAGAAAAAGTGAAAATTTTTCTCATTTACCTTCGCTTAAGTGCATTTTGAGATTATATAAACAATATTATTTATTTTAGAATAGTAGTAATTTTTATAAAATATTATAAAAACAATTTTTTTCTTAATATATTTTAAATAGATATAATTTTTTTTTAGATTAAAAACGTGATCTTTATTATTAAAAACGTAATATTTGTTATATTTTCAACAAAGATCACATTTTAAGATTAAAAATGTGATTTTTATTGAAAATATATTACGAAAAACATTATATTTTATTTTTTATATTTTGCTTGTTGATATATTATGAGAAATTTTATTTTTTAAAATTTTAAAATTTCAACAAAAACCACAGGGTCGTTTGTTTTTGTTTTCTATTTTTTATTTTCATTTTCAATTTTTTTTGAAAATTGAAAACCAAAACATGTTTGGTAGGTTGTTTTTGTTTTTTGTTTTTGAAAACTAAAAACAAAGTTTTGAAAATTATTAAAAACAAAAAAATTGTGTTTTCAGTTTTTTGAAAATAATTTGACACTATTGCTATATAAGCACTATTTATAAAAATTACAATTAAACTACTACAACGATGTTACAAATAATATATTAATAAAATAATAGTTTTATTATATAAATATTATATTAATAAATAATATTATATTAATAATACAATATTATTTGTTTATTAATATAAAGATATTATATATTATTAATATATTATTAATAAATAATATTTATTAATATATTATTAATATCATATTAATATAATATATTATTTATTAATATAATATATTATATTAATAAGTTATTATATTATTAATATATTATATTAATAATTTATTATTAATATAATATAATAATAATATATTAATAAATATTATATTACTAAATAATATATTATTAAATATTATTTATTATTAATAACAAATGGAGTCTAAACGCTTTAACCACTTTCTCTTACCTGTTTTTGTTTTAGAAATAGTTTTTGATTTCACATTTCTAAAATAAAAACATTTTATCCAAACATGTTTTGAAATTCAATAAATTGAAACTAAAACAAAACAAAATTTTCAAATATATAAAATACACAACAATACCAACAATACCAAAGGACTACATTTTTCAAATGAAAAATGTAATATTTGTTAGCAAACATTACATTTTAATGTAAAAAACATAAATTTTTTCGATATTTTAAACAAAGACACGGTGCTTTTGAAATTCCTGACAAAAACTATGATTAAAAATATGATCTTTGTTGAAAATATAAAAATATTATTTTTCATTGACAAAAACTATGATTAAAAATATTATTTTTGTTGAAAATACAAAAAAAATATTTTTCAAAATTTTTTAGTTTCAATGAAGACAATGTGTTATTCACATGTCACATATTATAAATGTCACATGTAATGAATGTCTCGTATTATTAATGTATCATCAAAGACAATACAATAAAAATTTTTAATAAGTAATCTTACATTCT